CTTGACGGCCGTCACGAGACGCGAGGGTTAAAGGTAGTGTGCCACCTTTCAAAGATTTCCCATTTTATTTTTCCTAGGATAAGAAGCTTCTGTTTTTACCTAATATCGTAAAAAATAAAAAATGGGCCTGGAATAGTGCTCTTTTCGCCGAAAAGTTTATCGGTTTTTCGATATGTATAACAACTGTAGTGGGCTGACCTGCAAACAGGCGTCGGCAACAATCGCGAATGCGGCGCACATGTGACAATAAGCAAAGGTCATTATACAGTTACGACGTACGGGAATGAGTTATCAGCTGTCTAATCGTAGACAACACAATGTCGAATTTAAACTGTAAGCCTGTATTGGTATTGTTTCTTTAATTTGGCTGTCGAACATTAATTTATGGTTTGAAATATTATTTTATGTAAAATAATTGATATGAAACAGCCGTCTCTAAAGTTATGACCCCATCTCACCACATGAAAGTGGCAGAAATGACAATGACCAGCTGACGCATTTTTCTTGGCCGAAGTCAGAGCGCGCGGCCCGACGCACCACCACCGCACCACAAAGTATGAGCAGAAGCCATCTGCGGTAGACCGCGCCCAAAGCCAGGGCCCCGGTAACGTGAAGTAGCCGAGTCGAGGCAGCGTGCGCTGACCCAAGCCGGGGCCGCGGCTTTGGGCGCGGTCTACCGCATCCCCGGACCCCGGGCAGCCCCGGGCTATCACATGACACCGGGAGGACGCGCGGCCCCGGCTTGGGTCAGCGCACGCTGCCCCGACTCGGCTACCTCACGTTACCGGGGCCCTGGCTTTGGGCGCGGTCTACCGCACCACCTAACAGGCGTGTTCGAAACCGCAGGAGATGATGATGAACGGGTTTATCGAAACTTGATTGGATGAGCCTATCGGTAATAGCGATTTCAGTGTGTGCATTTATTGTTCATAGTGGTGTGAAATGTGGTTGGGGTACGACCGACAACCCGTCGGGGCGAATTTAGCACTGGGGTACTCTAAATTTGAAGAATCTAAGACGTTTCCATGAGTTTTGAAGGTATGGATAAGTTCTAAAAATCCGGTTCTCCTTATCTGGGCCATTAACTTCATACGGTCCAGGAAAGCTGGCACACTACCTTTAAGAAGGGGGTAAACTGGCTTCAGGGACGTCGCTACGAGTTCAGAGGGAGCTACTTTCATTTCAGAGGGCGGCACTGTATCTCAGGGTCTTGGCTAATGAATTTCGACTAAGGGGCAAACCAGACCTCAGAAGCCAGAATGACACCACGTAACATACATATACCGTATACACCGCATGTAACATGCACAGGCTAGGATACAAAATTTCTGCCCAAACATAAGTATTCGTACACCTACTTCTACCGAGGGGTTAAGACTTAAGAGGCCAGCGTAAGGCGCTCGAAAGCCCAGGACGAGCCCTCGGAGGCTAGCATGGGGCACTCAGAGGCCGCTTTGGGGACCCTAAAAGGCCAAATGTGAGGGGGCGTGTGGCGTTAAAAAGCCCGCACGTAGGCCTTGTGAGACCAACGGGGTAGGGCCTTCTGAGGCCATATAGGGCCCTATATGACAATTTGGGCCCTCTTAGGCCATGGGCCTGGTGCCTTCTTTGGTCGGTGTGGGGGCCCTCTGTGGACAGCGTTGGACACTCTGAGGCCAGCGTGGGGCCCTCTGTCTTCTGAAAACTGAGATTGGTGCTGACTGCTGAGTCCTCAGAAGCCAGCGCGGGGTCTTCATAGACTGGTGCTGGGCCATCAGAGGCCACATTGAAGGCCTCGACAGGCAGAATTCAGCACTTATGCACGATTGGGCCTTAGAGGTCGGACTGAGGCCCTGGAGGGCGACATGGAGCCATCAGAGGAATTCATAGCCCGAGTTGGACCCTCCTAAAGCTTAGGGTATCAGCCCTCAACCAGCGCAAGACTCTAGGCAGATCGATATCTGCTCTTTGAGGCTGACGTGGGGCTCTCGGGGACCATTTTGAGCCCTCAAGGATCTAAGACCGGAGATAGGATCTACAGGGTCCGATGTGGAGCCTCCAAAGCCTGTGCAGGGTCCTCAGAGGTCGACGACATGGAGCTCTTAGAGACCGACCTATGACCAGCGTGACCTCTCAGTGACCAGCGTGGCCTCTACCGGTCTATGCAGGAGCCTGTAGAAGTCACAAGAAAGGTCACCAAAGGCACCAAAAAATTCAACAATAACTTTAAAAGAAGACATAGTAGAGTGATGAAAGAGTGTATTATGTAATGCCTTCAGCCCAACAACACAGATCAGTTTATGTACAGCATGACCTTTTTCGGTTAGAGCATGCAACTGACTATAGGTCATACTATAGATAATTTAACGCCTCTCGATACGAGAGACACAATTACGGTAAAAACTGTGCCTACCATACGTGGAGTGAGTAGATATATGCATAGTACGTAAAGAAATGGAACAAATGCTGGTGTCACGGATTCCCTTTAGATGAAGAGTGTAACTACATAGTTCACGCGCGCGCGATAATATTTCGGTATGCTGACCTAGATATTTGGGAAAAAAGAGGAGCGGGGAGATTTGAATGAACTTGAACTAGAAATGAATGAAATAACTTTGATCTTGAATACCAAGCGAGTTTGCGATGAATTGTACCTGAACACTGTGTAACTGTAAATGGTGAAATGTGAAATAATTCATCCGTGTCATACTTATTCGAGCAAAGAAATACAGAATCTGGCTGAAACGCAACTTCAAGGTAAAGTATGTGAAAACGTAACATTAACGTACCGTAACTGACGTTGAGACACAACATTACTGGCGACCCTGGCAGGACACGACATGGAGAAGTATTTAGAATTAGCGACCCGCTATGGGTTACAAGGCGAAGAGGCGCTCAAGTTCGCAACAGAACGTATGGATAAAGACATGGAGCGAGAGGAAAGAAGACTGCAACGAGATGATGAGCGCGAGAAGGAGAGAGAATTACAAGAAAGGCAGCGAGAAGAACGAGAGAGGCAGCGAGAAGAACAAGAAAGGCAGCGAGAAGAACAGGAGAAACAGCGAGATGAGCAGCAAAGGCAGCGTGAGGAAAATGAAAAGCAAAGAAAGCACGAACTACAAATTGAACAAATGAGACTTGAAAGCAACAGAGAGAGTCAAGACAGCAGGAACACGGAGGTCAGATCAACGGCAAAAAGACCAAAGATACCGACCTTTGATGACGGAAAAGATGACATGGACAATTACCTTAACCGATTCGAGAGAATCGCGGAGGTGAACCAGTGGCCACGGGGAGAATGGGCGGCTAACTTGAGCGCACTGCTCACCGGCCGGGCTCTAGATGCGTATTCGCGACTAAGCAGGCAAGAGTCTGAAGACTACGATCTTCTGAAAATGGCCCTTCTGATGAGATACGGCCTGACCGGCGAGGGGTATCGTAAGAAATTGCGCGAATCACGACCCGAAACAAATGAAACGGCCGGACAGTTCATCACTCGACTGACCAACTACGCAACTCGATGGGTCGACCTGACAAACACTGAACACTCATTCAAGGCAATGCGCGACCTAGTGATTCAAGAACAGTTCCTGGAGTGTTGTCCGCGAGCACTGCAAGTCTACATCAAGGAGAAAGGGGCGGACGACCTGGAAGAAATAGCATCCTATGCAGCAACCTACACGGACGCACACGGCCGCTCATTCTACAGCCTATGCAGAGCGTCGGGCGCTCCTGTGGAAAGAACTCGACCCGAACGACGAGTGAGCCCTCACGGCTCAGCAACGGCGCTGCGAGCCGCTCGTCAGGAGCAGTCGCCTCGCTGCGCCTTCTGCGAGTTCCCGCATCCGGCGGAGGAATGCAGAAGAGTCAGAAGCTGGACGGTGACCGAGAAGCGTGACCGACTGAGGCGTACTGGCGCCTGCTACTGGTGCCTTCAGACCGGCCACCGCGCGGCGGACTGCGCGGCTGGCAAGTCACGCTGCACCGGCTGCGGTGGAAGGCACCACGCGCTCCTCTGCAGCGGCTCGACCAGCGCTGCCGTCAACGCCGCCGCCGCCGCCGTGGTGACCTCGTCAGCCATGGACGATGCCGCCGCTCTGACAACAACCTTCCAATCGGATCAAGAAGCAAGTGCCACCGTGACGGCAGCAAGTAATACCAAACAAGATAAGATTTTAATGCAGACGGCGCGAGTGAAAGCAAATGGAGACAGCAGCTCAAGGATGGTGCGGATTATGATCGACTCGGGAAGCAATCAAACTTTCGTGAGAACGGCGGTGGCCCGCGAGCTCGGCTGCCACGCTCTGAGCAGCGAGCCATTGAAAGTGGAAACCTTTGGCGGAGGCCAGACGGAGTCACGTCTGACACGAAAGGTGCAACTGTCCCTGAAGGCGAACAACAATCGTGACATAACTATAGCGGCTTACGAGGTGCCAGAAATATGCACCGCGCCTCCAACAGCCTTGGTCACCGAGCTTCAGAAGTACCCCCATCTCAACGGGCTTCAGCTAGCAGAGCGGTCGGATGGAAGTTCTATGAGTCAGGAGATTGACATTCTCATCGGACTCGACAACTACCGGGAAGTGATCGATGGAAGAATAAAAATGGGTGCAAATGGGCCAGTGGCCATGGGTTCTCACTTTGGCTGGATCCTCGCCGGGCGGGTGCAGTCGGAGAGTGAGAGTGCCACCCCAGTGATGGCCAACTTCATTCGTGCTGATCACAGGGACGAGCTCGAAAATCTTTGGAACCTGGAAGGCATCGGCATCAGTTCAACTGGAGTGAGTGGAGTGAGCAAGAAAGAAGAAGATGACGAAGAAGCTCTTCGTCACTTCCGGGAAACCTGCCGTCGTCTCCCTGACGGGCGCTATGAAAACCGCTGGCCCTGGAAAGACGGGGCCGCCCAGAGCTTACCAACCAACGATCAGCACGCGCTAGCCAGACTGAAAGCGTGCGAGGCTTCTCTTCGGAAGAACGGACGTTTGACAGAATACGATGACGCCATTCAAGCCTACTTGGAGATGGAGCACGCAGAGAAGGCGCCGGTCCAGCCAGACGGTCCTGTGCACGTGCTGCCACACCACGGCGTCTTCAAGAAGGAGAAGGTCCGAGTGGTATTTGACGCGGCTGCCGGTCATCCAAGGGGTCTCAATGACTTTATTCTGACTGGTCCAAACCTCATCGCAGATCTGACCGGTATCCTCCTACGGTTTCGCTTCAACAGGATCGGTCTGACAGCGGATCTAGAAAAGGCGTTTTTGCAACTGTCACTCCATCCGGCCGATCGTGACGTCACGCGGTTCCTTTGGAGGAGCTGCGCGTCGGACCCTGAGCCAATGACCTACAGAATGACTAGGGTCGTATTTGGGGTGAATGCTTCGCCGTTCCTGTTACAGGCAACCATACGACAGCATCTTGACCTGTTCAAGTCGTCAGACGGCGAACTGGTCGACCGCCTGCTCAGAGATATCTACTGCGACGACTTGATCACCAGCGTCAGTTCAGAAGAAGAGGCTCACCGAGTGAGGGACAGGACAGTGGAGATCTTTAGTGAAGCCCAGATGAACATGACTAAGTGGACAACGAGCCTCCAGTCGCTGGTCGATCCACAGCAGCTAGGAGACTGCCCCTACCAAGGAAAGAAGGTGCTGGGGGTGAGCTGGGCCCCAGCCACGGACGAGCTAGTCATCATGACTGATCAGCTCGCTCAGCTGGGAAGCTCTCTCCCGGAGACGAAGAGAACGATCCTCAAGATAACGGCAAAATTCTATGATCCCCTGGGCCTCCTAGCTCCGTTATTGGTACGAGCCAAGATGATGTTGAAGAGCCTGTGGAAAAGTGGAAGAGGATGGGACCAAGCCGTCACGGAAGAAGTACAAGGGCAGTGGAGAAGGTGGCTGTGCGAGCTGCGAGAGCTGGGCAGCTTCAGTGTGCCGAGATCTTATGGGCTTACCGCAGAGAGCCCGTACCAGATCCATATATTTTGTGACGCAAGCAAGGAAGCCTATGCAGCTGTGGCCTATATCCGGACGGGGAATCAGGGACAACTTGCAAGTACGGCCCTAGTTATCAGCAAGTCGCGCCTGTCACCCAGCCAGGAAATGAGCATACCCAGACTCGAGCTGACCGCCGCTCTTATCGGTGCACGACTCCTGACTTACGTGAAGCAGCAGTTAACAGTGCCGCCACAGAACAGCTTTTTATGGACCGACTCTATGGTGGTTCTCAGTTGGATCCGCAGTGACGCCGACAGGTGGGGAGTGTATGTGAGGAATCGCATCCGAGAGATTCAGGGTGTGAGTGCTACTGAGAACTGGGGACACTGCCCCGGGCACGAGAACCCCGCCGACCTGCCCTCTCGGGGCATACCAGCAAACCGCCTCAACAGCGACCTCTGGCGGCACGGGCCTAAGTGGCTTACACAAGATCCATCGAGCTGGCCTCAGGACCGGAGCAGCGACCCAGAGCCAGAGGAGTGCAGACAAGAGGAGAAAAAACGGGCACTGCCGACCATCAGCAGCGCTGAGGGAACGGATCATCAGCTCTTTGACCCAGTCAGACACAGCACGCTGAGCCGCCTGCTGAGAGTAACTGCCTGGATATTGCGTTGGGCTCACAACTGCCGAAATCAAAACAAGAGATGTGGGCCGCTCACCGCAGAAGAAATCAGTGAAGCGATGAAACACTGGATTAAGTCTGCTCAGTCTACGTTCCATGAGGAAATAACGGCACTACAAGAAGCGCGGGCGTTGCCCTCGAACTCGCGTCTACGATGTCTGATTCCTGCGCTAGAGAGTGGGATACTGAAGAAGGTAGGGCGCCTTCAAGAGTCCCTTCTGAGTGAAGAGGAGAAGTATCCGGTCATTCTGCCTTCGAACCACCGACTCGTGCAGCTCCTGGCCGAAGACATGCACCGGCGACTGTGCCACGCCGGCGCTCAGCAGGTGCTAGCCGCGCTGAGGGACCAGTATTGGATACTGCGCGGCCGCCAGGTCGTCCGTGCAGCTTTGCGTCGCTGCCCAAATTGTGCGATCTTCCGCGCTCAGCAGCTCGGTCAGGTGTCGGCTCCGCTGCCGAGCAGCCGGACACGCCCCTCACGGCCGTTCAGCTACACCGGAGTCGACCTCGGAGGCCCTCTGCTCGTCCGGGGGACGGCACGTCACCAAGTGGACAAGCTGTATTTCGCGGTATTCACTTGCGCCGTCACACGAGCACTACATTTGGAGCTGGTCTCCTCCCAGAAAACTGAGGATTTCATCAAGGCCTATCGCAGATTCAGCGCGCGCAGAGGGGAGCCTCGGAACCTGCTAAGCGACAATGCAAAAAACTTCAAGGGAGCGGCTACGATATTAGCCGCCGAGGGAGTAGCCTGGCACTTCATCGTTGAACGAGCCCCCTGGTGGGGCGGATTTTGGGAGCGAATGGTCGGCTTGACCAAGCTCGCACTTCGCAGGACACTGGGCAGGGCGCTGCTCGGCAGAGAGGAACTTGAGACCGTGCTGTGCGGCATCGAGAGCGCCATTAACGCCCGCCCTCTCACGGCGGTCAACGATGATCCCGATGACCGGCGTCCACTTCGTCCAGTCGACTTCTTACGATGCCCTCTGGGGGACACGTCAGATGAAAGTGAGGAAGACCTGAGGAGCCGACGGCGGTACCAGCACACCGTCGCGTCTCACCTCTGGAGACGATGGCTAAGGGAGTACCTGAGAAACCTGCGGGACTTCCAGCATGCCTCACATGCCAACGAGGCCAGTGTGGGGGACCTCGTGCTCATCGAGGGCGACCAGCGTAACCGACTGACTTGGAAGACTGGCGTCATCCAGCAGCTACACCCCGGCCGGGACGGGCGCGCACGGGCGGCGACCCTGCGCACAGCTGATGGTGACCGGCGGCGGCCGGTTCAAAGGCTCTATCTGTTGGAGGGTCACCGGAGCTAAGCGCCACCGGTCACGTGTGGGGAGGGTGTCACGGATTCCCTTTAGATGAAGAGTGTAACTACATAGTTCACGCGCGCGCGATAATATTTCGGTATGCTGACCTAGATATTTGGGAAAAAAGAGGAGCGGGGAGATTTGAATGAACTTGAACTAGAAATGAATGAAATAACTTTGATCTTGAATACCAAGCGAGTTTGCGATGAATTGTACCTGAACACTGTGTAACTGTAAATGGTGAAATGTGAAATAATTCATCCGTGTCATACTTATTCGAGCAAAGAAATACAGAATCTGGCTGAAACGCAACTTCAAGGTAAAGTATGTGAAAACGTAACATTAACGTACCGTAACTGACGTTGAGACACAACAGCTTCTGCAAGATCCGTCTATTTTGGCAGTTTTTGCTCTCAGTGTGGGCCAAATTGTCGAACTGAGCTCGAATCTAAGGACAACGCAGTGGAAGCTTCCAAGGATCTATCAAATGCATTGTTCCGTAACGCTGTAACACTTACGGTTCACGAGCTACGGATGCGAGGGGAAAAATTGGCAAAGTTGGCTAGGAACCGCACCCGGTCTCGGGTAAAGTAGGCTACCACTGGGGCCCCTAAAGTTAAGATAGGACCCCTTCTTAATTCCCATGTTTGGCCTTCTCCCCTTTCCAACATATTAATACGCCACTTGATGACCTGCCCTACTATAGGGAAAGGAGGGTGAATTGCGCCACCTTAAGGAAAAACGCTAATTGTAAGAAAACCACTGGAGATGTAAGCATGCACTGGTAACCATTTTAAAGAGGAACTCATTGGCTACGATTTAAGAGCCTCCCGATCAATTAAGAATGTTTCGTTTGCTTCTGACAGCTGCTTTTTCAGAAACATGCAAAAGGGCGCATTTACCAACAACTGCTGTAAATTGCGCCAGGGGGATGGCGCAATTAGAATCCAATTGCGCCCTATCCTTTAACATGGCTAAGCAAAGGAGACGGAATGCATACACTCCGGCATTCTATGTCATTGTGGCTTACTTGAACATGTATTATGTGAATCAAGCTCGATACATAATAAATGTAGATATAAATTGCGATGTTTTTTTGCGCAGGTAAATAACTTTTCTTGTGTCCGGTATGCTTGTGAACTGGAACGAAAACGTTAGATGTAACCGACTAGATGTATACCTATGAACGTATGCGCCTAGACGGTTATATTTTCAATCGTTTCTCTCAAAATTAATATTTTTTATTGCTTCTACAACTTTTTTGACATCAGTTCTAACTTTGTATCATAGCTGTCACCTCTCACGCCTGAGTCCATGTTAAAAATGCCGTATTTCGTCAATTACACCGTAAGTTCATAGCCTAAATGGCAGCTACATTATAAGTTCGATGAGAGAAATAATTTTTGGACTGACGATGGCGGGTTGCTCCCCTGCCTGACATAAAACTCCTTTTTTATTGCAATCAGTTAATGATGCATTCATACTGTCGTGATACAATAGCTACACCATTATTCTATTTGCGCCCCCCTGGCGCAATTGCCATGGGCGCAATTAAAATTGAGGTACTTTTTAATAAAAGCGTAGAAGTTACCATAAAGATGCTGAAGGATGTTTACTGTTTCAGTGAAATATAATGAAAAAAGGATTTTTCTTTCCAAATATCACTCTCAAAATCACACATGTATCGCCTATTTTTATAGCCAACGGTTCAAAAGGCTGCAAAAAAGTTAAGAAAACGCCGTAATATCTTTGATGGCGTAATGAGCCTTGCTGATTGGCTTCATCGGAGAGCTTGTGCCATAAAAGGAACTATCCAGTGGTGAAAATAATGTTTTCGAAAACAAAATGCTTAACATGCCATTGAATTCGTGGGAATGTGGGCGGGCGCAATTGGTTAGGAGGGCACAATACACCCACTTTCCCCTAGGTATAAGACGAATGGCTATTGGCCGTGTAAACACTGGCGCCAAAATGAGAAAGTGAAACAGCAAATTCGTCTGACACCGGGTTCAACAACTAATTTTATGCTGGATAATATTTGAAGCGCCTTATTTACTCCGACTGGGTGGGAAATATCTCGTCACTTCGGGACAACCGGAGGGCGGCACTTTGACTTCAGAGGCGGCACTTTGACTTCAGAGGGCGGCACTATGACTTCAGAGGGCGGCGTTATGACTTCAGAGGGCGGCGCAATGACTTCAAGGACCTTCACGAAGACTGGAGGGCGGCGCTATGACTTCAGAGGGCGGCACTATGACTTCAGAGGGCGGCGCTATGACTTCAGAGGGCGTCGCAATGACTTCAAGGAGCTTTACGAAGACTGCGGAGGGCGGCACTATGACTTCAGAGGGCGGCACTATGACTTCAGAGGGCGGCACTATGACTGCAGAGGGCGGCACTATGACTTCAGAGGGCGGCGCTATGACTTCAGAGGGTGGCACTATGACTTCAGAGAGCGGCGCTATGACTTCAGAGGGCGGCGCAATGACTTCAAGGAGCTTCACGAAGACTGTGGAGGGCGGCACTATGACTTCAGAGGGCGGCACTACGACTTCCGAGGGCGGCATTTCGACTTCCGAGAGCGGCACTACTACTTCAAAGGGTAGCAATATGACTTTAAGTAGCGGTACTTCGAATTAAGGGGCGGCACTCTGACTTCAGGGAGAGAAGCGACATACTCTGAGGGTTAAATATAAATTCAGATAGTTACTACCAGAGATTATTATGAAATGAGCTTCAAAGAAATGCGGGTCATTTCCGTAAAATGCACTTCATCACGTATGGAAAAAAGCCGCCCTCCGCCGCCTTCGGCGGCGGAGGGGCGGCATTTTTCGATAGGCTAGGGGCATCGGCCCCCAGATGCCCCCCCCTGGATCCGCCCCTGCGCCCGATCACGATTAAACTTTCAGTAGTGCCCTCGTGTTGATCAATTTTCGATGGCTTCGATAGCATTCGATAGCTCTTTCAACGCTCTTTCGCCAAAGTAGTCCTCAGATTTGACCTCAGGTCATCGGCTTAGCATAAACTCTCCAGAGGGCAAAAACTCCAGTAATAGCCACTTATGAAAAAGTTTTTTTTTCTGCCATAGCTTTTTACTCGAGAAAGTCATGGCATTTATTTTGCCAGCCATCATGTTCTTCTTATCAAGACGCGTCGAATAAACTATAGTTTGACCTTGAAATTTCATTTGGAAATTTAACCCCGGGTCAAGGTCAAGACCTGACCGGAAAAGGTTATGTTGCATGTCAGTCGATCCGTTCAGTCGATCATCGCTCTAGCATGCGCCTACCAGAAGTTATTAACGAAAAACTGTTGGCTCCCTTTTGTGAACTGAGATGACCTCAGGGATATAAGGAAGGGTCACGTCATTTTCACGTCGGGTGTCATTTTCCAGTTCAGTGTGTCATGTTGAATTGTTAATAGGTGTTTGGAAGTGTTCAGAATGTCGTCCGTCCAGAAAAAAAACGCATTTTAATTTCCTTCCATTGACACTGATGATAGATATCGGATTTTCGTCCCCGTCTTGAGGTGAGATGTTCGTTTGTCTGGCCGCTATGTCTTCCTCGAGCGGTGGAATATTGGTTACAACTGCCGCCTATCACCGGAGCAACCCTAGATCATTTCCCGCTGACCACAGGAGCTTTCGATAAGGTATGACGCGTACGGCGCAACGCCACCAACACCCAAGATCTTTCTATGGACCAAAGAACAACTGACGACGGCCGGAGAAGTAACTGGCCGAAATGTTGTGAAACTAACATCTCAACTCAAGACGGGAACGAAAGTCCGACAACTAACATCCGTGATACTAATGTATGTATGTATGTATGTATGTATGTATGTATGTATTGACACCAAAAGCCTTCCACATATGGCGTGGCGATTTAATGCCTCGTCTCAAGCATTCCGAAGAATTATCCCATGGATTTATAGCCTATAGGTAATGGGGATGTGGCAAAATTGACCTGACCTTAGGTCACCGGTATCGAAGTTTCAAGATATACATTTTGTACAAACTGTCGGCCTTATCAATCGGTGAAATTTTCAAAGCAATCAGCCACTGGGTGTGGGTATGACAGACATTGGTACTTCAATCGTTATTCGTGAAAAAACTGTCTACCTTAAGCGCCGCTATTTTGACTTGCTTACCCCGGTGACGTCATTTTTTACCTGACCTGAAAATGACCTCAGTAAAAATTGTAGACTTTGTCCGTTTGTATCCCATGCCATTTACCGCTTGTTTCTATCTTGCTTCGTTCGCTTGATATCACGGGGAGCAGGTATCCGCCCCCCGTCGCACTGTGGGCGATCCGGCCGGTGTAGCCTCGCGAAACCTATCGGCATTTATAACATCCATGTTTTTGAAGCTAGAACCACGATATTTAGGAGCAACCTTCTTGAATATCCAATGAGCATATGTTTTAAAAAAGGACTATCTCTTTTAGGATTTGTGCTCTGTGGTGAGCTTGCAATTTGCCTAATTGCGGCTCGAATAACGCATGATTTCTTTTGAGGGTAGGTCGAAATTTATGACGATATGAGCTGGGTAGGACATTAAAATGGTGTGTACCTCCGCAGAAAATTGCTCCCAAACCAACTTTTTATTCAAACGATTATGCCCTACCAATTTATACATATCATGAAACAGCGTAAATTTCGCCCGGCAAGGCCCCATTTCATAACGTGACCCAAGCAGCGGGTTTGGTTTTTGTTAAATAACTTCGCAAAAAATGGCCGCAGAACCACGATTTTGACATCGTCGTGTTCGCCTTGCTCAGGCGCGTCGAATGGTATACTTTTTGTTCAGGTGAGGCCACCGTAAGGTGTTGACCTCGAGTCAAGGTCAGGTGAGAGGTCTTCAAATCACGGAGTTGGTCGAAGGAGGTCGTATCGCATATCATTCGATTCGGCAGGTCTTCCGGAGTCCATTGGTGACCTTGTCGACTCTCTAGCTCAATTTGATCTGGAGTTATTGACGAAAAACTCGTATGACCCTAGTGACGTCATAAATGACGTCATGCAAGGTCAACAATGCAAAAATGCAGCATCAGATCTTGCAAGGAGTGCATGAAGTAACGATTCCATGTACTTGAGACAATTGAATATCATTCCTGGCGCCAAAATAACAGTTTTCATATTTCCCCCATTGACTTATAGGTGAGGTCACGTGACCAACCTGACTTTATGTGACATTTAGGAAAAATCTGAGATATAAAAGTTGTAAGACCTCGAAGGGACATTAAGTCCTGCAAGTCTCACCTCCCTGTGAAAGTTACTCTGGCACTGAGAGCGTTGCAAGGTTGCGACATCTGAGGATCGTGTAGAGGTTCAGTTATGACGTCATAGGTCAGTGACCTGACCTGACTTGAGAGTGCGGTTGGTGTCACAAGATTCGGCGTGCATCAAAGGTCAGGTATGCCAAGTTGCAGTTCTCTATTGCCTGGGTGTTTTTAGCTATCGCGAAAACACCCTTTGTGGCATTTACCACTTGTGCTCAAGTGCACCAAGCACGGCCAACCCTTAGAAGAAAAAGGTGTCTGGATGCCAGGGCTGCAAGTTGCTGCAAATTTTCACTGGCTCCCCTAATAGATAGTGTCTTAGTGCATGCGATACAGCATTATTTTCAGTTCATCCTCGTAAAACTTTATTGCTGGGCTTGGTTAATTCAGTGAACGTAATGTTCAATGGTAGAAAAAAATATAAAAAGTTAACCTAATTATAAGACATTTTAACTGATTTTGTCTACTTGCTTTCTATGGTGGAATCGTCTAAACATCTAAATTTCACTTTCCATGCAAAATGGATGCTCAACACCTAGCAATTTCATCGTTCCGCAAAATATTCAAAGAGCGTAAAAATCGGCTGTGATTATCCCCTTATGAAGAGTTACGGAACGCTGTCTTTAACGATACTTTTGTCGACGAAAAAATGTCTCCTGAGCTATGCAAATGCACTAATCGTAATATTTGATGAATTTTCTGTCGACTAGTATGCGTTATTTTCCAACTTTCGGAAAAGTGTCTTTGAGGTTTCGCGAGGCTAGACCGGCCCGATCGCCTACCGTGCGTCGGTGTGAAGTTGGCGCGGAACGCGGATCCCCGTTGGTGCGCAGGTTAAACCATGATATTTCGGACCAAAAGAATATCTCGCCACTCAAAGCAAAACTTCAGGTCTCAGGACGTCCGGAACCGAAAACCCATTGACGCGGCACGAATGCGTCGCTGGCTACCAAATGCTGCTGTCTGGTATAAATAAAGCGAAAAATTGTTTCCATTTTTTACAACGCATTCTGATGTACGGTTATCAGAGCAGGGGCGCGGGAACTACTTTCAGACTGGAGAAGGGGGGGGGGGGCACACCATAATTGAAATCAACCTAGGGTATACCCAAATCTAGTTTTCTCACCGGTTTTAGGCCACTTATTTTTCATCCCTTGGCGTTTTCATCAAAAAGAAAACATTGGCAAAAAAGTGCGATATATTCCGTCTGAAATCTGTGGGGGCACCGCACCCACGGCCCTAGAGTTGGGGGAGGGGGTAAACTGTCCCCGACTTCCCACTGCCCCCCCCCCCCCGTTCCCGCGCCTATGAATTAGAGAAAACAATGCGTTCAAAGAATCGTAACTGTGATGCCAGTACCAACTTTGGTTGGGGGTGCCCAGAGCCCCTTGGGGGGTGCCCAACTCAGCATTGGGGGTGCCCGGGCACCCCCAAAAGTATACAAATCGACACCTATGTGTCTACCGTCATTTCACATGTTGGCTCGGTTTTATCACATAACTGACATAACAAGTCTGGAAACGTATAGATAATAGTCGTTTTCACGACGGCCATCTGGTACACATTTGGTGCACATCTGGTGCAGATTAGGTGCAGATTTGGTCAAATTATGTTCAGTGTGTCTCTTAGTAGCTATCAGCTAGGGTTGCACTAATTGCTTATATGCCTGCTTTGTCATATTATCAGAGAGCATCATCGATTAAAACGCTGAAATAAATCCATAAAATGAAGATATTTGCTGTAGAAGAGATTAGATGCAGATCTGGTCAAATTAGGTGCACTCGCCGGATAGCCCGTCGTGAAAACGGCTAATGTGCACTAGCATACGCCGAATCGGTATTTCGGCCTGACATGGTCTGGAGAAATAGGAACCTCGGCTGGACGTCGAGATGGTAGCGAAGGGATGTCGGGCTCGGGTTGACACGGGTTGATGACGGGGAGACGTCGGCTGAGCGTCGGGTTGACAGAGGAGAGATGTCGGCCCCACGTCATCTCGGCTCAACCTCGTCACACGATCTCGGCCTGACGTCGGCTCACGGCTGGACGTCGGTATATGCGGACGTACGTCGCCGACGTCCAGCCGATGTCGGGCCGAGGTTGAACCGACGTTGGGCCGACTTCGGGCCGAGCCTCGGCCCAACGTCGGGCCGACGTCCGCATGTTTACTGGGTTCATAACCAGTGATGAACCGGAACGTTTTCAATACGTTTTGATGTTATTAAAGACATCGCGCTCCGCGCGAATCAAATTTTCAAATAACATTTTCATTATTTAAGAAATGGTACGGATCATCACTTTTTATTTGCTTTCCTCTGTACATTTGCCTGCATAATGGCACCACATTAATTTCATTCGGTCAAACCGTTTCCAGCGGCATCGATTTTCTTAATTCCCAGAATGCACGAAATCGGTCTTTTTTCACAACCGGGGGTCTTGCGTTGCACGTGAAGCAAACCGTCCTCTTCCCCACACAGCAAGTGAGCTATTCGAGACGAATATCTCCAGCAATGCAGATGTTAGAAAGTTAGCGACTGTCAATCCTCAAGGCCATGGATAAATGGCAATGCTCACAAAACCGGTTGTTGCCTGTGCCGAGCGGGATAGAAACAGCCACCCCTTCCGGCATAAGATCAGTCGCAGGATGGCGGCCGCGCTGCTGACACTGTTCCTGGCGGCTGCGGCCGCTGCCTACCTGAGCCCGCCCTATCGGCCGCTGGTGACCACTCTGGAGGGGACGGTGAGCGGTGCGACCGACAGGAGCGCCGACGGAAGTCTCTTCTTCAGCTTCAAGGGAATACGGTATGCACAGCCGCCCGTGGGCCCTCTGCGCTTCGAGCCGCCACTTCGCCACCCAGGCTGGCGGGGCATCGTCGACGCTCTGGAGCACGGAAACAACTGTGCCCAGTTTCAGGCGTTCAACAACAACACCCGCCTTGGTGTCGAGGACTGCCTGTTCGTGAATGTTTACACCCGCCAGCTGCCGGGACGGGAGAACACACTGACCGGGCTTCCGGTGATGGTCTCTATTCACGGAGGCGGATTCTTCTTCGGCTCTGGCGACAGTGACATTTATGGTCCGCACTACTTCATGGACGAGCCGGTGGTCCTGGTGACGTTCAACTACAGGCTCGGACCGTTCGGATTCTTCACAACACATGACGCGGCAGCTCCTGGCAACTACGGCATGCTGGACCAGGTGCTGCTGCTGCAGTGGGTGCAGGACAACATCGCCGCGTTCGGTGGCGATCCCAAACTGGTCACCATATTCGGCCAGTCAGCAGGCGGGTCGAGTGTCTCGCTCCTGGTGCTCAGTCCCCTTGGAAAGGGATTGTTTCAACACGCCATCAGTCAGTCTGGTGTATCGTTTTCCACATTTGCCGCCAGTGGCAAGCGAAGAGGACTGGCCGTCAAGTTGGCCACGCAGTTGGGATGTCTTCAATCCAGGAGTGACGCACTGGTGGACTGTGTCAAACGGACTCCAACTCAGGTTCTTCAGGACGCATGGGAAGCCATCGGAGAAAATGACAACATCGGCTTTCGCCCCCGTACCGATAGAGAGAGGAACCTCCCATTCTTACCTGATGATGCCAGGGTGCTGTTGGCCACAGGTAACTTCAACTTAGTTCCTTGGATTTCCGGCATGACTAGTCTGGAGGGCGCTTTGTTTCTTCCACGCCGTCTCCCGACCGAAGATTTCGTTAATGAAATCATTGACAAAAATCTGGGCGTTTGGAGTAGCTTTCTCGAATTGATCGGCGAGTCCCGATTCAGGATCCTAGATTGTGGAGCTGATCCAATCGAGGAAACAATCAAGGTCATTAACTTCTTTGTCGGAAGCGGCAGAGTTACGATAAAGGCCCTTGCTGATATCCTATCCGATCGACTCTTCGTAAACGAGATATCAGAAGAGATTCGCCTGGCCTCGGCGCATGCTCCTGTGTACAAGTACGTGCTGGACCACATGGGTCCCGGACGGCTGACGCTTGGCGACAACCCTCCGAAGCCTGACAACCTGCCGTACCCAGTCACAGAGCTGGGCGTCAGCCATGGTGCGGATACTCTCTACCTGTTCACTAGAGCCAACCGGGACCGAGAGCAGCCCGGCACTCCGGCCTACTTCATGGTCCGCTTTATGGTCAACCTGTGGACCAACTTTGCGCGCACGGGTCGGCCCAGCTCCGATGTGCTGCCAACGCCAGACTGGCCCATCTTCAACGAAAAGTATCAGCGCCACATAAGACTCAACTCGCAGCCGGCGCTGGGGGAGAGATTGTTTGAAGAACGGGTGAACTTCTGGCAGACGGTGCGCATCAACGAGCAATGGAGACACCTACTAGACAGGAGCCCGTGCTCCTGAGACCCGAGTCTTGGCCGTGGTCGGTTCAACACGATGGATGCGAGAGAGGAATGCAACAGGAGGACAACTATGTACTATCCGGCAACCTTCACCTTGAGTAGCTACAGTAGCGGCGGAACACCTTCAATTAAGGGGGGGGGGCACTGCCGACTTTTGGTTCCATTCTTTCCATGCAACACCCATAAGGCTAATGTTAAAATGCATAAATCAAAGGGGGGCACGGTGCCCCGGTGCCCTCCCCGTTCCGCCGCCTATGAGTAGCTATGCTGTTTTTATTGTACAGATGAGAAGTAAGATATGGCATCTTCGAGTTCTTCCTAACTAACTGTATGACCAATACACAACGTCATGTTTCATCGAAGGTAAATATTCTTTCTTATCACCTACGTGATGTACTGCACTGAGGGCATAGAACCCTGCACCTATTTAGTTAGCCAGTAACCACTCCTCGCCGAACGAGGAACAGTCCTCGGGTCAGCCGTTTCACAGGAACTAGGCCAGTATTTGTTTTATGTAAGCAAATGAATCTGAGACTCACCGAGGGTAAAACGTTTACTCATTAACCCGCGCCCTGCTGGGGGGGGGGGGGGGGGGTGTTTGAACACCCCGCCTTGTGGTTTTTCGCGAATATTTCAAGTTTTTGGTACACCTTATCATACATCAATTCTACACATGTTGTGAAAATTTCAGACCAAGGTCATTCAAGGTCAGGTCACCAGGTCACTTGAAGTGACCTCACCTCATAAAAAGTTTCAATGTCTGCCATAGCTACACCGAGTGACCGATCGCTTTGAAACTTTCAGCGATTGATAAGGGTAACAGTATCTATAAAATGTATCTCTCGGAATTTTGATATCGGTAACCTAAGGTCAGGTCAATTTTGCGACCTCTCCAAGTCAATGGGAGAAAATTGAAATGCGCCTCTTTTGGACGAAAGACATGATAAACACTCCCAAACACTGAGTTACAAGTGGTTTAGACACATTGAACATGAAAATGGTGTCCGTGACTCCTATTTATGCCCCTGAGGTCATCACAGGTCACGAATGGTGTCTAACAGTTTTTCGCAAATAACATTTGATAGAGGCATGCTAGCACATGCGGAACTTTATATACCGTGGTGGTTGTAGCTACAACCCCATTTTTTAAAAGCACAACCCCAATACGCAACCGAAGTGTGACGTCATGACTAGTGGCTGGGGCATAATCAGCTGACGGCCCTGTGTAAAAGCAATGGGACGAAATTTTATCAGTATTTTTAGAAAAAAACTGGACCTAGTTAGATAGTTTGGGGGCCAGTCTCTAGGTAAACTGAGTATATTCTATTTTTCTACGCCCAAAAAATGCTATGTTTGAAAGCGAAAAGGACCGAATTTCGCGAAATTGTTACGGGCGGCGAACTTGACGCACCAAATACATGACCTTGATACGCGAACTGCGACCGCGTCGGGAGGATTTCGGTGCGAAAGGTTTGACATATTTGAGTTTGAGCTGGATAAATATTTTTTATTTGTAAAAAGCAAAGGAGAAAATTCACCATATAAGTTATTTTGAAAATCTTTTTTATTTTAAATATATTATTTTAAACCTCTTGATCCAAAATGTTTTGTATTTCTGCGTCAACTTCGCCGCCAATTAGGTTTTCACGAAATTTTGTGCTTTGCGTTGTTAGATTTTGCAATATTTTTTCATAGAAAAATAGATCATACATCGTTGTCCTAGATCCAGCTACTAAAACTATCTAACTAGGTCCAGTTTTTTTTAGGAAAGATCGGCAAAATATTGCCCCATTGCTTTAGCACGGGGCCGTCAGCTGATTATGCCCCAGCCACTTGTCGTGACGTCACGACTTTGGTTGCGTATGGCAAAACTACAACCCCAACATTGGACATCAGCCTGAAACACATGAAAATGAACAAAATATGTATTCCTACAGAAGCAGATAATTGAGATATATCAAGAAAGTGAAGATATCAATAAATTAGGACATCTTTTTGAATTCCAGATGCTAAAAACATTGAAAGTGCTCCGTTAAGAACATATTATTCCGCTGAGACAGTGAGCAGAGCATGATATGAAAGTTAATCACTTCACACTTCTTAAGCATACTAAGTGAATCATATTGAAAGTGTTCCAAAAAATCTTAACATGTAACATGAAAGTGTGAAGCAAAAAAAAACATAACATTCATCATACTTTTGCAGTGGCGGATCCAGCTCAGAGTTTGGGGGGGGGGGGCAAACCATAACAATTTATCGATTCTTTCCATGCCTCGTCCATAGGCGTAATATTAAAATTATGCCGTTTGGGAGGGGCAAATGCCCATTTTGCCCCCCCCCCTGGATCCTGATCCGCCACTGTACTTTTGGGTTTTCTCACTTAATATTTCATACCTGTGGGCTGTGCTTATCAAATAGATAAGCATAGATGAAAAGTTTGACACAAAACAGTAAGCCTCAGAAATAAATTAACCTAACCTAAGCTCCCACCCTATGTCAATGTAGCATTCAATCACCATAATCATAATATCAAATACATTTATGTATTTGAACTGTTTCCGAAAAAAAATCCGCTATTTTTGCAGTTTTTGCCCCCTGCAGGCAAAACCGTTGACGTTACGTCAAATCTGAGAGAATTACTCAGAAAGGGCGTTAACAGGGCTATCGAATCGGTTTAAATCAAGTCATAGGGTCTTACGACCAAACCAAATGCCGGTGGGGCTCGCTGAGCATCTAGGTGCATCCCATCCCGTGTATGCCACTGAACGAAATTAACCTGTCGTACACGATTCCTTGTGTAATCGTGTTTACCATGGGCTATTACCGTTTCATCCAGATTGTTTGTTTTTACCTTATTTTAGACATTGTTTAGGTAAGGAAAATGACATACTGATGCTTGAAAATTCTTTCAGACGAACAGACTAATGGTTAATGTATCTTTTGGCAAGGAGGACATGATGACAAAACGTGTTAATGATATCACAATGACCTATCAAAGATTCGAAGTTTGGGGAACAGTGCTGCCACCTACAGGCGGACATGTATCACTATTAGTTCGATACTCGCCATCAGAGGCCAATTGACCCGAAGGGTGCGGATATTATTGAATGCTGTCGCCAAACCAATTGAGTGATATTGCTGGTTTTAGCGGCATTGTGACGCCAACGGACCATGTTTGAGGCTCATATAAACTTTTCAGCCTAAACACAACGCAACTTTCGATTATGCAGTGAGACGTCGATATTTTCACTTTATCCAAAAACTTCAAGGAAGTTCAGGGGTCAAATTTTTTTACGAATTTTTCATTTTTCTCGACGGATTCGGAATCAGCATGAAAAAATGCATCAGACTCGAGGCTTGGAGCGGTGATTCCGTGTACTTTGCAAAAAAAATGGCCATCCTACTGAACATGTACCGGTTTTTGTGGCTCAGGCTTGATGACCTGACTTGAGATAACTGGGACCAAAAATTTTCCGGAAATGTTCAAAAGGATGCCCCAGAGGGCATGCAAAATTTGGCGGCGCTATACGCCGCCTTTTTTACGTTTTTTCATAGTCACGTATGCTTTTATTCACACCCTTATTGAAACACAACGAAGACGAGGCTCACCAATGGATGCGTGGCATAATAACATATCGACTATCCTCAGTCACCAGTATCGACCATGTGCAAATAGCACAATGGACATACAACACGCATTCTCTCCCAATGATTAAAGGCCGCCCCACACTGGACCTCGCATGCGGGTTGCGAGTTTGCAGGTTTTGAGTTTGCGGGCATAATACTAATTCTAGAGTGATTACACCGTTCCTTTATGGTCACTCCATGAATGCAGTGAAGCCGGTACACCTTCAGAAAATTACATATTGTCGCAATACCAGCACAACGAACCAAAATTAGACTCCAAAGAAAAACTCCCAGACTTCGCAGAACTCGCAGACCTCGCAGCGAGGAAAATCGAAAGTTGACTCAAAATTAACTTTTGGAATGCGATGCAAGGTAGCTCGCAAGCTAAAAACATGCAGACTCGCTTGTTAGATGGTAGTGTGGGTCACTCAGTATAGATTGTATGATTAAATTTTGAAGAAACCCGAAAACCCAAAAACCCGCAACCCGCATGCGAGGTCCAGTGTGGGGCGGCCTTTACGGACCATGCACACAGAAGCTCCACGTGTCTACACCTCTTCACTTCACTATGCTTCATGTATCTACACTGCTGGTGGAATACGGTTCACAAAACGGTTGCACTCATAACACCATCTTACAAAATTCACCACGTTACACACTTGAAAGACTTAACACGTTTAAGAAACACAAGGAAGCAATGCACCAATGTTAATGATCTGATCTGGTAAACACTGTAAACCACGCGAGAATATTCACTGAATGGGTACTTTCGTAGAACTCGACACTTACTTGGTGTAGCGTTATGTTGGTTACCATGCTCTGCGCCCTGTTCCTCAGTTTCAATGCTCTTGAAGACAGACAGGTGACCAGTGGCGATGACTGCGACGCCCCTCGGCATCCATCCCGCCTTCTGGCGATACAAGTGAGCCGGTATCGTTCATGCAACACCGTCGCCAAACTGGGAAAGTGCGCTGTTCAGTTGGGCGCTTGTGCGCATCCGTTTCAGCCTACTGGTCATTTGTCTGGCGCCTTCCTCCGTCATGCCGTCTCCCAGAGCCCTGACTTTGTCTCCAAACGCCGACAGAAGCGCGTCCACGACAGCTGAGCTCGGCCGTGCCATCAGCGACTGACGAGGATTCGGCTGGACGCTCACAGTGTCGTCTTCAGATGCCGCATCCATGGCCTCATCGGCCGAGGGAGGGTCAGAGGCAGCGTCAGTGGTGCCTGCGTCAGCAGCAGCAGCGTCACTCGGACCGTCAGAGTCATGCTGCTCAAACAGGGAGGCGAAGAAATCCTCCGTCGGTGCCGCCTCCTCGCCCGTGGCCACGGCCGCCAGCCGCCGGAGACGCTCCTTGGTACCCACGTACCCCTTCGGCAGCCTCGTCATGGTGTGCTCGGCACACGCGGTCTGGTGCTGGCACACGGCTCCAGTCTGGCCCTTGGTGCATGAACACCAGCCGGTTTTGAGGTCCACATCGTACACCTGAGTGTCATCGCCCTCGCCCTTCACTTTGAAGCTGCCATCCCCACCTTCTGTCTGCACCACGTCATAGCCCTGGAGCCCGGCGGTGGCCTCGCAGGCGGTCGCTTTCTTCCCTCGCCGCCCGAGGGCCACGTCTGCCAGCCGCTGCCGCACGAGGTCGTCCCACTCCTCGGTCAACAGCACGAGTTGACAGGCGTTCTCCGCCTTCGACGACCTGTGAAAAATGACACAGAAATGAGTGATGGTACGATATAATTTGCCCTCTGGTTACCGTTATGGTACGTGGCACAAAGATTCAAACCAACAGAGTGTAGAATATGTCCCCGTTTGCACATTCGCTGTTACGGCGCGCCATTCTCCTCCCTCTCTGTTATGTTCTATTCAAAAACCTTGATTATCTTATTAACGAGCATAAGAATACGAAGAATCGCGATATAAGCTTGTTGCTGGTGTGCCCGGTCACTTCATATCATCATCATTATGAACGAGAATGCATGTCGTGTCTGAGGTTTTTGTCTGTTTTTTTTTTTGGGGGGGGGGGTTTGGGCATGCCGAGTCTGCTTCTGTCGCCGTGTCTGAGGCGTGAAAAGATAACGTTGGTTAGTTTTGCATCTGTTCACTAGCGACCCTATCCGGTGCTAAAAGGCGCACAGACAGGCCGGGGGTGGGGTGGGGGCAGCCGAGGGTCGTGTGCGATTCTCCCCATACACTGTCATCGACGTTATGTCAATAATCGGGTCTTTCGGGGGAAGTCATGCCCCCCCCCCCCCCCGTGGTCGATAATGCATTTACCCAGAACAAAATATTCTGACCTGTTCAGGACGATGTGTTTGAGCACACACACTGAAGCCACCGCGAAGTTATAGTTGCGGTGTCCTCGGAGCATCTCGCAGCTTCTGAAGGCCAGGGCCCACTCTGCTCGCCGCTCCATAAGCTCTCCCATGTACCTGTTGGGGCAGATCACAGGGTAAGTGGTGCATTCAGAAAGTAACTGCATTTACACAGGCCCTCACGATTGAGTGTGACAACTCAATCGTGAGAGCGTTTCTTGCCAGCGGCATTGACGCACATGGCCTGATTGCTAACACTCATGTACAGGTCAGACACTCTTACGACCTGCTGGGCCTGAACCTGCATGCGGTGAGTGGACGCGATCTAACAAACATGTTCGTCGCTCCATCGGAGCGTTTTGTTAGCACACTGAACGAAATGGCTGCCATCAGAGTCTGTTTTTTTTTTGCATTTGTATCTGCATTTGTAACATTGAAACGATTTGAAATTCTCCGCAATCACCATATCTGGCGCTATGTGATTTTTTTCCAAAACCGGAGGGACAGCCCTGAAGGACGGCGCTACGCATCCAGGACGGAGCTGGCAGGCGCGATCTGCTAGTGGGTACAGCAGGCCTCCAAAGCATGGAGTGCTATCGGAGTTGGTTGAGAATGTGAGACGATGTAAGCTTCGCGCTCGCTCCTAATAATAATAACACTAGCTTACCTTATGAAGGAATCACAGCTGCTTTGGGTCATCGAATCTGCTAGGTATGTCTCCCAGATGGCCGAGAAGCTCGCTGGCGATTCGGCGTTCACAAGGCTCTTGGTCAGACTGAACAATTGCTGGCGCTGATCCTTGTCAATACCGTGCCTGTTGTCCAGGAGCCACCGCCACACCTAGCGGCACAAAGAAATACATGCCATGCAGTACTTGGTACCACGGTTATGCATAAACATCACGGTTACAACTTTGCTCGGACTTAAACAGCGCCTTTGACAAGCGGACTTCCGTCACTAAAAAGGCACACAGTACCCGCTAATGTAAGTGCATTAAATGTTATTGCATTAGTTAGTTGAACCGCTTTAACCCTATTAGTGGCAGGCTCCTGGCTACCCCTATTAGTGGCAGGGGGGGGGGGGCTGTTTACGACCCCCCCCCCCTGATATCTCGAGATCTAACGGGCCGATTTTCAAAATTCAAACGGCATTCGATCTCGCTCAACGTGATCTACATTTCTAAAAAATAAAAATTAAAAAATGACAATAGGGGGGTAGAGGGGGGGGGGGTTAAAACGGGCAAATTGCAGATACATTTTAGACTGTTTATCACGGCCAGGTTTCTGAACCAATCTTAACACAACTTTTGCCGATCGATAGAGAATGAACCAGGAATTCACATGGATCCTAAAAATATGCATTTTCAAAAATCATAGGCGGATACAGATCATTGAGATTGGGGGTACACAAAAAGTATAGTAAATAAGGTTTTTGCTGGTACTGTTTCTAAAAAGGGTGGCAATGGTCTTGTTATGTTACAATTTTCTTATGAGAGAACGACTACAATTGTATTGGTCATGCATAGGCGGTGTCAGGGCACATATGTTGGGAGGTAAAACATACCCCCCCCCTTTTTGGACGCCTGGATCCGCCTATTATAGCAAAAACGTGTCAAAAGAGGATGCACAATAACTTTGTATATGTTATCACATGATACCTTTCATTCACTGTTCGTAAAACTGGTGCATACAGTTATAATACATCAGCATCGTGATCTTCGCCCAAATGACTCGCTTCACGAATAGGACCCCCCAATTCCCAGTGCTCTGGAGCCGCCCCTGGTAAAGTTATGAACTTGAAATTTTCAGGGAATGTGCCCAATTAAGTTTTAGGAAAAGTCAGAAAATTTCAGCATCGCAGCTTCAGCGGTTTCGGAGATATTCCCGAAAAACCTGAGGGGTGGATGAAATTAACCCCCCCCCCGCCACTAAAAGGGTTAACAAAATTCATGAGTTAAACGCCCCGAATTTATTGCTCATGCAGCCTCCCCGTGAAAGATTCAAAATGGCTTTAAGCATAAGCCAATGCAAGGCACACATACATGTATCCGTTTTTGCGATCTTCCCATGACCAGTCAGAAAATGTCATCTCTAAATCAAGCATCTCTAAGAAAGCTCTGAGCTTTTCACAAGTCCCGATGGCATCAGAGCGTTTCACGAAGTGGCCCTACCTGCCGCAGCGTGTGGCAGACAGACGAAAACTGCCGCGACTCGGGCCAGACGGCCGCCAGCGCGCTGCACTCCGGCGCGGAGTCGTCCGTCATCAGACAGTCCGGTCTCCCCTTGCCGAAGAAGCTCTCAGCTCCCAACGACTTCTGCAGCAGCTTGAACCCTAAAAGAGAATCAATTGTTATATCTTCGCAAAATGATGGAGTGTGAACAACTGTCTTTCTCGAAGGATAATAAAATTCAAGGGACATGTGATTCCATTCGATTTGTTATGTAATAGCTGTAGCCCACAGTGGATGCCCATCTGTCGCTATAACTTAGACGGGTCCATTTTAGACTACAACATCCCTGTGTCCCGTAATTCAGCTGGTTAGAGCATCGGACTCACTGTGGCGAGAGCCCGGGTTCGAGTCGCTCCGGTGCTCGACAAACGAGACTCCTGACGGGCTTGATCTGCGGTTGGTGGGAGCAGCCGCAGCCAATTGAAGTCAGTGATAGTGGGACGGATTGTGTCGAGTTTGTTGAGCGCGCCAACTTCTCGCATCCGAATTCCCCTGATTACCTGAGATTGCCGGATCGGACGGCGGTGAACATTTAGTTGTTTATCCATAAACAAGCCACACTAAAATCAAAACAGACACGAGTAAATTAAAGCTGTGATTTCCTACTCTAACTTAAGTGTACCGATTAAAACGCACCTGCCGTCAGGCACGCCTCATCCTGAGCTGATGTGAAGATGACGCCCAGGGGCGCGGCGCCGGCCGGAGTGGCGCAGAGCAGCGGACGAACACACGTGTGTAGCCCGTCCACCGACACGGCCCCGTCCACGTACACCACTTCCCCCGCCTCTCTGATCTCCTTGTGGGCTCTTCTCATGAAGGGCGTAACCAGCGAGACGCAGAAATGCTCGACAGTTTGCAGCATGTCAATGGAGAGCTCGGGATGGGCAGCGGCGTATCTCTTCAGCGAGTGGATCACGTCAGCGTCGTTTTGCCCTCTGTGCTTGTTCTTTTTCCACAGCTGCAGCATGTAATCCACAGCCCTTCTCGTTGGATTCGTGTCCTTCCGAGCCACCTCTAGCGCGTCTCCCTCAGCTGCCCGTTTCCTGCTGTGATGGCGAGCGGCTTCAGAAGCACCCATGCCTGAGAAAAAAACGGGCAAACTGACAGTTCATATGGATTATAAAAGACAGAAAGGTATGCTTATTGCGTCACTATATGAAAACGACAACAAACCAATAAAAGGAATGATGCATTTCATGTATTTGCTCTAGTTTGTGTATTCATAAGCTGGCTCAATAAACATGACAGTTAATGTTATACTGAGGCGCGATGAGAAAGTAAACACACTTTCTTTTACATACTTTTCAATGGTATTGGCAAAATATTCTACAAGTAAGACGGCACAGCCAACAAATGTCAACATTTATTAGCATACGAGATCTAGGTATAACACTTATAACCCCCCCCCCCCCCCCTGGGTTAATTCGGTACCCACCTTGCTCAAAGTACTCGTTAAAGCTGCGTGCGACGCTGGGTAGGACACGCAGTTCCTTCAGAGCCGCTTCGCCCGTAGTGGTGTGGTTGTGGCATCCCACTATCCGAATGAGGCCGGGATGGGTTGCCACTGTTTTGTCCTTCTTGAGGGTGTGCTTGTTCACGGGCTTGATAGTGACAATCATTCGGAAAGTACATCTGCCGGAAAGATGAAAATAAGGCTTAAATATTAAATTAGACACAATATATGCGATGTCAACCAAAATACTACAACTCATAACAACATCTATAATCAGAGACATTGAACTACGGTGGAATCTAGCACTCCCGACTTTTGGTTACATTCTTTCCATTACGACCCCCCTCGCCATTTCGCCCCTGGTGGAGCTAGCGCGTCGCGGAAAAAACGAGCGTGTGCGCCGTTACGAGACGCAGAGATTGGTACCCGATTTTAAGTTCCTAGGTCAACCGGTGACCTCTGAGGTCAGGTCAAGTGCCCCAAGGTACGGTTCAGTTTTTGGTGAATAACTTTGCAAAAAAACGGCCGCAGAGCCGTGATTTTGGCAGCATCGTGTTCGCCTCGCTCAGGCGCGTCGAATGATATACTTTTTGTTCGGGTCAGGTCAACTTTGGGTGTTGACCTCAGGTCAAGGTCAGGTCAGCACCCCCAGGTCACGAAGTTGGTCGAAAGAGGTCATGTCGCATATCATTCGATTCGGCAGGTCTTCCTGAGTCCATTGGTGGCTTTCCCGACTCGCTAGCTCAATTTGATCAAAAGTTATTGACGAAAAACTGATATGACCTTGATGACGTCATAAATGACGTCACGCAAGGTCAACACTGCAAAAGTGACGCATTTACCTTGCAAGGAGTACATCAAATCACGATTCTGTGTGCTTGAGATAGTTGGAGATCGTTTCCGGCGCCAGAATAGCAGTTTTCATTTTTCCCATTGACTTATAATGGTGAGGTCACGAAAATGACCTGACCTCATATGACCTTTAGGAAAAATCCGAGATATACAAGTTGTGAGACTCATAATGGATACTAGATCCTGCAAGTTTCATTTTCCTGTGACATCTCTGGCAGTGAGGGCGTTGCGAAGGTGCGACATCCGAAGACCGTGCAGAGGTTCACTTATGACGTCATAGGTCAGTGACCTGACCTGATCTGAACATGCGGTTGGTGTCAAAAGATCCGGCTTGAATCAAAGGTCAGGTATGCCAAGTTTTAGCTCTCTATCGCCAGCGTGTTCGGAGCTATCGCGAAAAACCCTATGGGGGGGGGGCGGCACCCCCCCCCCCCCTCGGCCGGCGAGGGTTAAAGTGCCAAAATCAAGGGCGGCACGCCCCCCCCCCCGTTCCGCCGCCTACGGTTGGAAGAATTATAATAATAATAAAATGCTAGCCAATGACGGTGTGCCAAGGGCACAACCAAGGGGGGAGACGGCAGTCCGAGCCCCTTCCTTATGGTGGACGGGGGCAAAGCGAGGAAATCGAAGATCCCGTTGGTTTTGGTCTTTAAAGCTTCCTCTTGCCGATGATTCGCGATTTCAATAACCAATGATACGCTCTGCAGTGCATGCAGTGCATGCATGCAATTGCCCTGAAACTTTTTTGCGACTTTTTCTGCACCAATTTTACGCTGCCTGTTCACATTTCTGTTGTTTTCGTCTTTTTCAGTTATCACGCACGAGTCTTGGAGGGTGGGGGCGGTAAATGCCCTTCTCTCCTTCCGCCCTCTATGGCCATGTCATTTGTCCGATAGCTCAACCAATTGAGGGTGAACAGATCAACTTAACAATTTGCCAGCAATACGCCTTTCTCGAGTTGTGGAAGCGGTCTCTTGCATTTGCGCATCAGCAATCTGCGCCCCAACTGACTTGTGCAATGTGCACGGCACCCTACACGCCGGTCCCAAACCGTGTAACAAATTTGAGCGCCATCGGCCCAGCCGTTCTCCTCAAGATCTAGAAGCGAGCCCTGCACGTGCGTACGTGTAGTAGCTCGCTTACCGTGACAAATGGAAATGCAGTGTCAAGTGGGTGCCTACAGACATAATAAGTTTCAGCGCAATACGCCCAATGATTGATGCTTCTTTTATGGACTGAAACTGAGCCCGGGCACCGACGGGGTGGGGCGGTTGACCGCCCCCCCCCCGACGTTTTTTGCGAATAGCCCAAAAACCGCGGCGCGTAGCGCCGCGATATTTGGCACGACTTTTCCCTCATCAATTTTACACATGGTGTGCAAGCTTGAACCCCTTATCTTTCAAGGTCAGGTCAACAGGTCACTTGGAATGACCCAACCTCAAATCACTTTTTTGCAACTTTGTCACCGTGTCAGAGCTACAGTAGATGACGGAGGCCTTTGAAAGTAGCAGGATGTAACGATGCCCGATGGCATTAATAGCTACAACTTGTATACCTCGGAATTTTGATATCGATGACCTAAGGTCAGGTCAATTTCTTGACCTCATAGGGGAAAAATCAACTCCGTTTTTTCCACTAAAACGCGTCGGAATGGACCAATATACTATGAATGACCTTATATACGATCAACGTTAACTACCTTGTGGCCTTTTATGCTCTTGGGCAACTGTAAGGTCATGTGACGTCGTAAGGTCATTGTTTCTAGCTTGGCTACTTTAAATATTATTCGAGAAAAAGCTCTCCTCATATCTAGCGCCGCCATTTTGACTTTTTTGACACCTGTGACGTCATCTTTGACCTGGCCTGAAAATGACCTTAGTAAAAATTGTAGACCTTGCCCGTGCGTATTATGACGTCAACACTGAATTACTAGTATCTTTGACACACTAAACATGAAAATGGCACCCGTGACCCCTTCTTATGCCCCCTGAGGTCATCTCAGGTCACCAATGGTATCTGACTGTTTTTCGCGAATAACTTTTGATAGAGGCATGCTAGGGCGATGAAAACACCTTAGTTGTGTTTGGCTGTTGTTGTTGTTGGTGGTGGTGTTCCCCTCAGGACCGGATGGGGCCGGCCTGTAGCCCCATGAGGGGCTCCTTGTAGCGGAGGTAGCCGGCGGCCAAGACCGCCACCAGTTCGCCGTCCTTAAGCTGCTCCGGTCGAATATGGATGTTGCCCGTCAGTCGCAAGCGGGCGCCGGCCAGGCACGGGCACCTGAGCAACACATGCTTCGGGGTGTCGGCGCCCTCTCTGCACACGATGCAGCGGGCTGCGGGGCACGCCTTAAGGTTGCACTGCTGGCAGGTCGGGATGGGGCGCCGCCCGATACGGTGCAGATACTGCTCCGAGCGGCCCCAGTGCCCGGCCCGCAGCTGGTGAACGTTAACGGCGGCATCCCGGTCGAGGTTGTTGAGCGGGGACGGCATACGGTCCCGCATGATGTCCTTGAAGAAGCTGGACGGCCATTCCTGCCGCCAGCGGTGGGATGCGCAGCGTGCGACGGCCTTCGTTAGCGTCCCCACGTCTGTTGCTGCTGCCTCCTGGGGTAGGCCGGAGGCCTCCTTGGCCAGTTCATCGGCCCTCTCATTTTCCCGTAGGCCGCAGTGCGCCGGGACCCACTGGAGGCGGATCAGTGACCCTCGGCGGGAGAGAGCGAGTAGGTCCTCCCAGATGGAGATCCCTAGGTGAGTCGTCTGGGCGGAGGCGCCGCTCTCCAGCATCCTCAGGGCGGCCTGGGAGTCGGTGCAGATGACTATTGGGTCGTCTGCGATGTCGGCGTCGGCGGCTCGGATGGCGTTCAGGGCCGCCTTCAGGGCACACAGCTCTGTCCGCGTGCTGGAGCAGAGCTGGCCCGCTGGGACTCGGACCTCCCGAGTCTCTCCCGACGGGAGGGTGATTGTGGCACCGCCCCCGCCCTGGAAGACGCCTCCCTCCGCCGAGCCGTCCGACTATCCAGGTGGCGCGGGGCGGCAGATGTTCCAGTGTGGCCTCTGCCGCTCCCCTCCGTATGTGCGCAGGGGCCGCTCTCTGGCCGCCGGAGCCGACGTCCAGGCAGAAAGTCACAGCTTCTCCATAGTGGTCCCACGGTGGGATAGTCTTTGTAGGGCGTCCTTCCACTTTGACGTCGTCCGCGCCTGTCCAAGCCAGGGCGCGGTGGCCGACCTCACGCCATCCGGTGGTTGTCCTCAGGCGGGGGGCGACGTGCGTCTCTCCGACGGCGCGGAGCGGGTCGTCGCCGGGCAGCGAGGCGGCCAGGCCCACCATGCGGGCGGCCAGCGCCGGGCATCGCACTCGCGCCGGCGGGATGCCGGCCTCGGCAATCAGCGGCGCAGTCAGGGTTGAGGCCGTGCAGCCAGTGACCGCACGAGCCGCCGCTCGCAGCTCGCGTTCGATCAGCTCGACGTGAGCTTCAGACGCCGCCGGGAGCCACGCCGCTGCCGCGTACTCCAGGGCGCCCCGAACGTATCCGTCGGCAACGGTCCGTAGTTGCGCCTCCTGGAGGCCCCAGCTGCGACCAGTCAGTTTCCTCAGCTGGGCCGTCCTGGGTTTTACTTTCCGGCGCAGGTTCCTGCAATGTTCCCCGAAGTGGAGGAGCCTGTCAAAAGTGACTCCTAGGACTTAGGAGTCTCAGGTGCGGGGATCCTTTGACCGATGTTCCGGCCACCTTGATCTGGAAGTCTTTGGCGTCATGGGACCACTGGGAGAGGACCAGGGCCTGGGTCTTCTCCCCGGCGATCACCATCTTCCACCTGTTGGCCCACCTGACCATCGTGTCAGCTGCGATCTGGGCTCGTTCTCTTGCCGTCTCCATCCGGCATCTACCGCTCAGTGTGGCGGTATCGTCAGCGTACATGAATACGCTGGTACCAGGGTCGCTCCTCAGGTCGCTCACAAGGTCGGCCGACCACAGGGTGTACAGGGTCGGTGCCAAGACCGAACCCTGAGGGAGGCCCGCTCTGAAGGGGCGCTCCTCGCTGAGGCAGCCGTTCACTTCGACCCTGGCGCGTCGGTCACGGAGGAACTGGAAGATCCAGTTTACCATGCATATGGGAGCTGAAGACGGACCAGTTTAAGTTGTAGCATGCGGTAGCCGATCTTGTCATAGGCTCTGCTGAAGTCATACGCTACCAGCGCGAACTTCTCCGCCGTCTTCCCCTCGGTAGGGCGACCGGCGGGGCGGGGTCGGTTCCAGCCGTCCTGTACGGTCTGCACAAGGCGGCCGAGGTTTTCCTCCACCGATCTTCCGCGCCGGAAGCCCACCTGT